TAGTTAAGCATGACCTTCCCCTGGTGAAGCCATGCTGGCTATCTAGGATCACGTGCTCGTTCTTTATGTGTTCTTTATGTGATCAAGCACTGCCTTGTCAGGGGCCCATTTGCAAAAGATTCATAGCAGAACAGAGTTTCTATTTTCAGAAAGGTAGCTGCATTTATGAAAGACAAAACAGTGAGCTTTTCAGCTATTCCTAGCAGGTTAATAAAAAACAATCAGTCTCTTGTTCGTACCTTATTGAAACAGCCTCCTGTAGTACAGGAGTCATGCAGAAACGTACTTTCTCTTCCGTGTTCTTGACCTCAGGAGCACAAGCTGAGCACAGGAAAGTGGGCTGGCATCTTGATGCATTTTGCATCTAGTTTAGCAGAGGCAGTGAGCCTGGAATGGCAGAGGGATTGTGCAGTGCCATCTGTCTTTTCAAACAGCTTTGTCCCAGTCTCTCTTGCTCCATCTCTTAAGGAGTGTGCCAGCTCCCATTGGAATGCATTTGAGGGGAGCCTGGAAAGGGCTGTCAGTGTTCAGCATGCTGATGGATTAGGGCACCTTTACTTCTTTGGGGCTTTTGTATCTTTCAAAATCAACCTTTAAAACTTGAGTCAAGAATGAACCGTTCCCAAAGCTCAGTAACAAGTTTTATCCTGGAAAAATGCATGAGCTCCATTTGCATCTCTCCCTCTCTGGTCCAGGGTGCAGGGGCTCACCCCTTCTTCTTGGCAGGGATCATACCAGCCCAGTCATTGGCTGAATGCCCCTTCAGTCTCTCTGTCATTAAATAATGATTTTCCCATGTGAAAACCAAGCTCTGATGCTTTGTGCAGGAGACTGGCAGAACTGAGCCAAGTGTTCCTAATGGGCACAGCATTCTGGCAGCCTGGCATATCGGGGCCTTTCTCTCCGTGCCTATTGCAGATTTCAACTTGTGCCAAAGACACTAATTTTTTATTCATGTATCAGATCAACTCTCTTCTTTGGGATAATGCCCAGCAAGCCAGAGCAGCATCTGGAGATTACAATCACACATTTATTTTTAAATTCAGTCCTTCTGCACAACTACATTATTTCTGGCTGTGCTGTACTTGTATTATTGTAAATGAGTTGATTTGCTTCTGAAATTCATAAGCTCTTGTTTAATTAATGCACACAGTACATCTGCTGCTTTTTAAAGGGAGAACAGGGCACTGTACATTGCTTGGAGCATGATGGATTCAGAGTTCCCCTTGGCTCTCATTTCTTTTGATTGCAGAAAAGACTATCAAGATTCCAGTAAAATGAGAGGAGCTATCCAAATTGCTTAGCAGTATGACTGTTCTCATTCTCTTCCATTCCCCACGAAGAGATGCCATGGGAAGACGAGTGAATATGCAAAAAGCCTTGTACCTGCCCTGCTGCAACACATCTGCCATCAGGATCCTTTCTGTTGCGTGTTTGTTTGGATCACGCTGCTGTTGCCCTGTCTTTAGCAATCCTGAACTTATTCTGAATAACTTTATATTCCTTACATGCAGCAAACTTAATGTGTTGCAGTCTTGACAGCTAAAATAATTGTAGCTTCGCCGAAGGTGGCTTGTTTTTAAATCTGTTTGAGCATCTCACATCCCAGCAGTGTGATCTCAGGGAGGCTTGTTCACATCACAGGAATGGGAACATACTCATTTTAGCTGTCACTGCTGTAACCTCCTGTTCCTCTTGCTTTTGACATCGCTGTTTTGACTTTGTGATCTCTATGTCTGCCATAAGTAAGCTGGTTATTTCCCTGTGGATGGTAACCAGGAGAACAGCGCTGTGATTGTGCATGTGTGCACCTTCAGAGAATACATGGCAGTGGGGCACAAGGAGAAGGCATTGGAGCCCTTTGGGAGCGACAGCCAGCAGGATGCTGTCCCTGGAGCAATGTGCTGTTTGCCAAAGTTCTGAGGCTACAGATGAACAGCCCTATTTCCATGAGCCCCATGGTGCTGGGATGTCACTGCCCACTCAGGCAGCCACATGCTGCCTTCAGATGTGGCCTTGATGAGCAATTGCTGTGGCATGTGCTGGTGGCCACCTGGGACTCTGTCTTGGGGCTGGGTAAAGACTTACATTTACATCATCCCTGACTCCAGGCCAGTAAGCCTATTATCCAGCCTGGCTGTTATGGTATTCATTTATCCTACATATTTTATAGACCCCCGTTCTAATGCTTTTTAAAGTGTTTGAAAACGCCCTGCTAAATCACTGCTGGGAGTCTGTTTGCAGCTCTCCAGTTGCAACTGGTGATGGCCCAGCAAGGCTGCAGTCTGAATCTGTAGAATCTGGAGAGGAAAAGAAATTCAAGCTTTATGCTGGTGAGAGAAGAATGTCAGAAAACCTTTTCTGAACCAGGTTATTAGTGCTACACATCTGTATTTCACTGTTTTATCCCAGACCACGACCTCTTCTTAACATGGGGGTGGATTCCTGGGTTTGTTGTCTGAGAATTCCTGTTTCCCTTTCCTTAGTGTCCAGAGGATGTGTGACGTCAAGTCTTTGTTGTAAACTTGTGTATTGGCCAGCCTGCACTATACACGGGTTACATTTTTCAAGGAGATTTGCCAGCTAAAAGGAGAAAGCTGGACACATTCTGTATCTTTTTTCTTTAAGTACAGTTACTTGGGGTTGTTGGGATAAGGCTGAGGGGTAACTTGAGTGGTAATATGTGACCTCAAGGGAAAAACATAGGTGAGAGAGTCCTGGTTGCATGATAAATGCAATTTACATCATGGCCACTGAGTTAATTACCTTGGATTACCATTTCCAGTATGTGCTATGCACATGTTTGGAAGCTGTAATGCAAACCTGGTACACAAGTATGTTAGAAGCCCTCTTGCAGATTTTGATCTTTCCTTTTCTCTTTCCCCTCCCATTTTTCTTTTCTCTTTTTAATACTGTAACACTTGTCCAAATACTTCTATGAGGAAGAAATGGGTAAGCACAGTTTTCTGTAACATTTGAGAGTCAGGTGATGGAAGGAACTCAAATGTTGACAGCCAGAAAGCACAGCAGTGATGTGTGTAATGGAGTGAATCACTGTAAATCTGCTTTTTTCCCCCCTGTTTGTTACTCCAGTAACTTTGGTTTGCTGGTTATTTTAGCTTGCAAATGGCTGTTCTACAAACAGCAGCCAAGATTTTGACTCCTCAAAAAACCAACTTCTTGAGGTGATTGGAATGTGTTAACAAACCCACTCGAAGCTTGGATTTGTACAATCTGAATACCAATGAAATGAGGTCATTGTTTGGGGGGCACGTTTTGCTGAATAGTAAATCTACAGTACAGAAGCACAGTTCCTTCACTAGAAAGATAGAAATTACACTCACTGTCAATCACTTATTTGGCCTTCAATTACGACAAAATAACATGGATGAAATTTTGACGTTGTTTTCTGGTCTTCTTCTAGTTTACATTCTAGTGTTCTGAGAAATGACCCGGGATCCAGGCGATCCAGTAGCTCCACTATGCTGGATGGAGGAAATATTGGAAAGTTTGAATTTGAGATCACTGACTTCTTCCTCTTCGGTTCTCCCCTGGGTCTGGTTCTTGCACTGCGAAAAACTGTCATTCCAGCTCTTGACAGTAAGTCCTGATGTAAACTGCTGTGTTCCCTGAGTAATCGAGTCAAAAAACCCAAATATTTGTAAAGAAAATGTTTATTCTGCCATAAGGAATCAAGTCACCCTATGATCTGGACAATACTGATAATGCTATTCATTTGTCCTTTACTTCCAAATGTTAAGAATACTGGGAAAATTATTGAATCTGTAAATGTAGTGATAAATTATTTCAGTTGATTAAAATGGAATAAGAAGAGGTAATAAATCTTCAGTACTTTAAAAAAAAAAAAAAACAAAAACCCTCAACAGGTATCTGTTTTATAGACAAATCACTGCGTGATACTTGAACACTTTTTTCTCCATCTCTTTAGTCTTTCAGCTCAGACCAGCTTGTCAGCAGGTCTATAACCTGTTCCACCCTGCAGACCCATCGGCTTCACGCCTTGAGCCCCTTCTGGAGAGGAAGTTCTACCTTTTGCCCCCCTTTAATATTCCCCGTTACCAGAGGTTCCCACTGGGTGATGGCAATTCTGCTGTTCTGGGTAAGTCACTTTGGATCCCTGTTTAGCTGTCCAAACTTCACATGAAGTTATCAAAGCAATTGGGAATGACAAGAAAGAGAATTGGCCCTGTAACATTAACTTTATTCCTGATTTATCAGAAAAGTAGGGTTTTTTTTCCAACAAAATCAGTGCCCTGTGGCTCAAATGCCTGTCATTTGTCACACAGAGGCCCTCAGCTGCTGAGAGTCAAAATCTAATGAGCTCCCTTTGAAGGTCTATGTTTTACACCCAAGCTGGTGCTTCTTGTTGGGACTGAATGGAACATGATTAACTTGGCTGAGTTTGGTGTTTAGGGGCCAGTGAAGAGTAGAAGGACCAAAGTCAACAGTAAGATAATGGAGCTAATTCACTTGGTTGTACCCTTTGTTTTTTCATGGCACCAGCTAAAGGACTGGCTCCTGCAGATGGTCAGGCTGCTGGCAATGCCCTGCCTTTTACACCTTGCCCATGAGACACTTAGTCTACCTAGGACTCCTCTGCCATCAGTGGCCTTTTCACTTGCTCTACCCCAATTGCAGCAGTAACAATGTCTAAAATGGCTGTGTGCATGTCCTTTTGGCTGGCTAGGTTTCATCTGAAACAACTGTGTCCTGACCATGCCCTGGCTCAGCTCCCATTACATCAGTGCTCCTGCAGTTGATCTAATAAAATGAATTCTATTTCCTACCATCTTCACTTCACTTCTGTGCCTAGACTCTCATGGTTTGTTGCCATTTCAGTGCAGGCTCTCATTGCGAGGAGTTCTCAGGGAATTTAACTGCTGCACAAAACTAAATTTGGCCTTTCCATTTCACCTAAAGTTTTAGTTCCTTCCAGAGTAAGGGCTTTGGGGCAAGGAGGACAGTTTCGGTGTTTTTTTTCCCTTGTTAGGAGAGATATAGTCAAAGACTTTAAAGTCAACAGAGTAGCTAGGATTTGCTATTGTAAAAGAAATCATGCTGGCAAACTGGAGTCAGATGCAAAAGCCACCATCTAGGAAGACTGGAATTGTGTGTTTTGTTTTTTGTTTGTTTTCATTCCCCTCTAAAACTCTGGTAAATTTCCACTTACATGGTCTGCTGTGTATCTGTATCTTTAAAGATGGTTTTAATTGCTGAATCTGGAGGTCTGATTTGTTTAAACAGGCATAAACTAAAATCTGCATTTAGCAAAGCGAATAAATACTTTCTGCAGACCCCATTCGTCAAATTTAGCAAAGATCTTGCTGCAACACTTCTTAAAAATGGATCCACCCACAACTGCATTTGTACTCAGTCCAGTTACAGCAGCTTGGGGAATCTGTGGCAACTTGGAAAGCAAATTTGTGAGGGTGTATATTCTTGGTATCAGCTGCAAGTAGCCTTAAAAAAAAAAAAATACACCTTAAACCTGCATTCTGGTTATCATCCCGTGCTACAGCAGTGATCTCACTATTTACTGTGCCTCCCTGCACCTCTGTTAGGTTGGCTGTGTCTAAGTTTAGAGAGAAACTTGTACGTGATGTAATGGAGAGGAGTGAAATGGCAATTAGCTCAGCTATAGGAAGGGTAGGGTGATTTCAAAACCCTTTCCAGGTTTGAGCTGTGTTATTGTAAGAGATGCTGCTCTGACATGACGAATAAAACTGACCAAAAAAGCAACTTTAAATTCTCTGACTGTATAAAACAACACCTCTTCATTTGCTTATCATAAAGTAACAGGCTCTTCCTTTCCATTAGAGCCAAAAATGGCTGTGATTTAGGCATTATCTAGAAGGGCTGTTCTGACCATGGCTTGCAAAGCCACTAATAACACAGAATGCTCACTGTAGAATGCTCCAGAAAAGTTAATTGTTGCTGTAATTGAGGTATATGATTTGATGATCATGTGGAATTCAAAAACTCAATTATTACAATTAGTTATGCACAAAGTGTTCTGTAATGTCACTGTGTGCATTTCCTTGTGCAGATAGCTGGCTTTGTTTTTTACCCCACCCAGGACTCTTAGACTTTGTTCCATTATTTTTTCCTTGTGCCATTTGTACTAAATGTTGGGTCCCCATTTCATTGCAATCAACTCGCAGAGCGGAATTAAATTCACATCTCTGCTTACTCCTGTGCTTTTCACTGTGTAGGCTGTAAGTCTGACTCAAGTAAATCTTCCCATGGAGTATGTATTATTTTTCCTCATAGTAAAAAGATTTCTCTGGGTCTGCTGGCTATTTGTGGATTTAGCTCATTGGAAGAAGCTGCTGAAGAGGCTCCCTTTTCTTTTGGCATTGAAATACCATCGTTTTGCTCTCATCTGCTACCAGCCAATCTCTCTGATGTGGGTCTGTTTGGAAAGCCACCCATGTTTCATTTCTTTTGCTCTCTTCGAAGGTTGTCCTTTCATTGAAGACCGTTTCCTCATAGTTGAAGTGCTCAGTTGCAATTGTTTGTACATTAACACTTTGTGGCCACATGTCTGTTGTTCTTTGTCCTTCTGTATTTTTTTTTTTCCCCATCTGCTTCTAGTTGAGACAATCCAGAACAATCCCATCCTCCTCATGGAAAGTAGCCCTCTGGGTGCTGCCCAGCACCAGGACAGCTTCATGGAAACAAGTATCCCCGTTCCCGTACTGAATTGGCAAGATGTTCCCAATAAAAGTGCCGGTTTTGCTGAGTGTGTGTAATCTACACTTTTGTATTGTCTGTGGTGTTGGGTTCTCGGGATGCTTTTTGGAGATCATTCTGTTACCTCCTGGAGCTGAAGTCTTCATGCTGTGTCTCAGACTCGGACTGTGCCACGTGAAATTACAGCTTGGGGTCTGGGAGACCCAGCAGGAAAAGAATGAGTCAGAACCACAGTGCTGAGTTTGGAAGGGGAGACTGCTGCCACATACTTCATTTCTTCCTCCTGTAGTGGCAATGCTGCTGGACGAGGCTTTGGCACAGCAGCACAGAGTCTCTGGGTGCCTTGCTCATGTGCAGATCCCACAGGACTGGCCTGGTTGTCTGCAGTCTCCCCAGCACTCAGCCACACTGCGCCATGGCCAGCAGTCTAATTAATGCTGTGTCAGACCAGATTTTGTCCATTTGAGCGTTCCATGTTTGGACAGTCCTTGTGGCTCTGCTGAGTACACCGAATGAGGCTTTCAGACCCCGAGGTGGCTGTGTTTTGGCTTTTTACAGTTAATTTCTTGTCTTCTGCCTTAAATGCAAAGTTCAGTGCATTTGTTTTGCTTTGTTCTACTATGGTAAATGCTGCATGGCCTCATTTATTCTGGCGGCGGCTGGTGCTACAACTGCGATCTTAATGAGACTTTTAGTTTTTTCTTTCCCATGTGTCACATGCCCATTCTCACCTTTTTTAGTTTTTTTTTTCTGTTTCCAATTGAGAACCCAGTTCTGCTGTCATTTTGTTTGTTTCTTTTTAACAAGCTGCCCATCGCTGTCCATGAGCAGTGCAGTATGTGGTCATACAGGATGGCAACATTGCAGACTCTTCCAGCTAGGCTCTCCCTGTGTCTTCTGAAGGTGCAGGTGATTGATAGGTGTGCAGTTGCCATGTTGGCTGTGATGCTCCATAACAAAGTAGAGGGAAGGGATCTGGTACTATTAATTAATCCCTTTGGAGGTCACTGATGAAGTGCCATTTAGCTGTCATCTGATACATCCTGCTGTCAGGACAGTGCTTTCAGAAGATTCTCTGCTCTTTTCCCTGTGTTTCAAGAGCACGATGTGGCCGAGCAGTGCTTGCTTTGACTGCAACAAGTACAGCCACTGCTCTGCAGGAGCTCCACAACCATGAAAACATAAGGACAGCAGCACTCTGATCTCAGGGTAGCAATTGCAGAGCACCCAGCGCTGGCCAGTGACTGATGCAGGCAAGGCCTGGCTCTGCTGAGCAGCTGGCTGGCTTTTGTGTTTTATTGAACCTTACGTATTTTTGAGTGCTTTCAGCATTCCCTGCTTCTGTGGCACAGCAAATAGCACATACTGAAACCTGCCACTCTGGTACCCCCAGGACTTAAGTCAGTGCCAGCAGTACATTAGGAGGATGGCCTGGTGCCGCTCGCTGAGTGCAAAACAATCACTGAGGACATTGACAAATGAGTCCATAAACGAAAAAGTACAGCACAGAAATGAATGTTAAAAGATCTATAGCTAGGGAAAAAAAAGAGTCGTTTATTTTCTTATAGCACCTCTTCTGGAAGTGCGGTAAAATCTCAATTCACCCTGCTCACGTCACTCTCAAAGAGAGCCCCTGTGGTTTCTGGAAGGCAAGAACAGTGCTGCCCCAGGGAATTGGTACAAAGAATGCACAGAGTTTAGGAAATAAGTTGTTAGGTTTCTGTTGTTTGTTTGTTTGTTGTCCTGTGAGTCGTGTCCCAGTGTTTCATCTGGAAGTCACTCTTGTTGCAGCTTTGGGCTGAGGGAGCCTGGCTGGAGGGGCAGCTCTCTGCCCCTGCTTCCTTCCATGCTGTTTCCTGGCCCTCCTTCTCCTTATAAGCTGACATCTTTCAAAGACAGAGGGTATGTAGCACAGGGAAGGGGAGAAATGTGAAAGCAACCCAGGTGGGCCGGGCACGGGAGTGCTGCAGTTGAACTGCACACCATCCCCTAGAGCCAAGCAGGCTTCTGCCACCAGTGCAGGCAGTGCTGCACTGAGCAGTGCAGTGACACTAAAGCAGACTGGATTTTTGTACAAGTGAAAATCACTGTGGTGGTGACACTGTGGTGGTTTGGAGGGGCTGTGGAAGTTTTTTTTTTTGTGTGAAGATACGCAGGCAGAGCCAGAGCCACGATCAGCCCAGGCAGCCCCATGTTTGGCCCAGCCTTGCCTCCTGAGTAGCATTGTTGTAGTGCTCTTCAGTGTGTCTTCCAGCTGCTTCCTAATTCAGGCCACAGATGTTTATTTCTAAAGGAGAGGAAAGAAGTTCAGGCTTCACTGGTTGATGCTGGCTAAAACCAGAGCCTGGCACTTTTCCTAGTACAGACAAAGCCAAGCTTCTCATCATGTCTGACTGAGTTCAGGGAAGTTGATGGTCATCATCTGTGTTGCAGCTGTGCTGGGGCACCCATGTGATGTGATGGAAGAGGATAATTGCAGAAGAATCTCACAATGTGTACAGGCCAGGGGTAACCTGGAGAGCTGAGAGGGTTGTCCCAGCTCACACAGCCAGTAGATGCTGAACCAGCAATGGGACCTAGACCCTTTACCCCGTGTGGGTGAATGCAGCCAGCCCCTGGCTTGGCTTGTGTTCTCCAAGTACAGCCTGTCCTTGAGCTGTCTGCTCATGCTGGTGCTTTCTGCAGTAAGAAAGCCATGCTGGCGCATGGGCTCATAGGTGCTGGTAACGGCCTTGGCAGCCAGCAGCTCAAGGCAAGGGTGGAAAAAAGAGGAAAGTGCTGAGAAAGTGATGCTGGTAATGGCCTTTCAGGCACAACGTGGGCAGTGTGCGAAGCTCATCATCAGGGCAGGCTCCCACTGTGGCACAGATCATCCAGTCCACGAAGCTTTTACACAGAGCAGCTTGTGGCCTGATTTTCCCTGCAGAGAACAGAACTCTCTTACCAACACGTGGGTACAGGTTTCTGCTTCGAACGTTCTCTTTCCCTCTGCTGCAGCAGGATTTGTGTGGGCTCAGACGCTGCTGCTGGGAACTGAGAGATTGGAGGAAGCAGATCAGTAGCCCCAAGCAAAAAGATCTGTGTTAAAATAAACCAGAAACGCCCTGTGTCAACCACATGCTGGGATCAAACCCAGGGATATCTAAAGTGGCTGAAATAGGTGGAGGATGTTGGTGTGGGGGAGAAATGTGCTTACGTTCCCTGTGGCATTGCTGCCCAGGGGGACAGCAACTTTTGCCCTGCCTTGAAAAAAGTTCAGATGCTGCTACTCAGGTACAGCAGAGATGGGCAACGTTAAAACAGTAGTGAGTAGCTTCGCTTGTGCATGTTACTGTCACACCTGTGCTGCCTGCTATGGAATACATTTGGTACTGGCACAATAAATCCTCTGCACTGCAGGATCCAGGGATATCCCAGAGGCACTGAATTTGGTCTCATCGCATCCGCAGAGGGGTGGGTGCTGGTACCACTGGTAGAGGGGGAAAACTGAAATGCAGAGGTTTTATCTTGACTTCCAGCATCTCTTGGCCTGCCAGTCCTGAACATTTGAGGTCCGTTTCCCTCTGATACATGTATACAGTCCACGTGAGAGTGACCTGAAATCCTCCTGCTCTGTATTGATGTACCAGAGGGTTAAGGCACACTTGGTAAATCTCAGGTTGGACTCTAAAACCCAGGCTTGCAGGCTGTACAAAAGAAGCTCTGTTTTCACAGAACCTGAGCGCTCCCCGATTCACCAACACCACCTGAAGTTGTAAGTGCTCAGCACTCCTTTCTCTCAATAGCCCTTACTTCAGTTTAATGAACGTTGGCTGTATCAATCAGCAATAAAACACAAGTTCAAATTTAATCCCTGCCAGGCATGAAATGTTTTCTTGGTACTTTTTGTATTAACACTTCTGTCTTGGAGATGTTTATTTAAGTCTAAATGTTGCAAGAAAACAAATAGCCCTTTTTAAACGTTGTTTTTTAATTGTTCTCCCTCCCCTGATTATTTTGTCTCTGTGGATATATATAAGTTGTATATATTCACATCTGTATGTATGACACATGCTTCTGTTGCAGCTGCTTAAGTCTGCCTGGATTATCTTGTTTGGCATTTTGGATTTGGTTGGGTTTTCTGAGCTAATTCTTTTGCTTTCCTCAATCAAAGGCTGCTCTCCAGCCGCATGCCTCTTTGCTTGCTGCGGTGTTTGCTGTCTTTCCAAACCAGAGCTCCGATGAAATGTTTTTCATTCAGATCAGTTTTGAAAGGTTTTTGCATCTACGGGCCTTGTTTTCCTTCTCTTCCTCCTCTCGACTTCATCTTGCCCAGTCTCTGTCTGTTGGTCTAATATTTTGATTTCCCTGTTTCAACTTTGTAGCAGATGTTGTTCAGTCTCATGGTGCCGTCTTCATGGAAAGCGCGTCCCTGTCCACCCCCATTTCAGCCCCTCAGTTCAGGGGCTTCCGGAGAGCCAGTGAGATCAGCATTGCCAGCCAGGTCTCAGGAATGGCAGACAGTTACACTGCTTCCAACATAGCCAACAGTAAGTGTTTCACCCCCCTCCGACACCACTGCTGTCTCAGCACCACACCCTGAGCTGGCCTGCTCCAGGTCAGAGCCACGCAGCTTCTGTCTGTCCGTCTGTCTGTCTGGGGTATGCTTTCCATTGATAACAAAAAATCGTTCACCTGGTTTTGTCATAGCACTGCGTGTTACCGTCTGCCCTGGAGAACCAGATGGTAATACAGGGGTCGGTGCTGCCTTATGCATGTTGGACTGTGCTGCAGATCGTGGTGTAAATGGCTCAAAATAATAAGAATTGATAACTCTGAGCATTGTTTGGCTGCTGTGTGTGGTGAGGGTTGATCCAAAGGGATGGTTGTGCACTGCTGTTGCTGAGTCTGGCAGAACAAGTCAAGATCAGTGCAGTAAAGGCATTGAGGCATTGCACAGAGAGGTGGTGGTGCCCCATCCCTGCACACAGCCACAGTCAGGGGACGGGGCTGTGAGCACTGGGGGTGTCCCTGTGCACTGCAGCCAGTGGGAGCAGATGGCCTTTGGGGGTCCCTTCCAACTCAAACAGTTCTATGATTCTAGATCTATCATGCAGGGTGGTGTGCAGCTTTATGCTGATCAGTAAATGTGATCCACAGAAGCAGGAGACGAGTCAGCCTTTCTATAATGCTGGAAGTGGGAAAAGGGATCAGGTTGTTTATTACCTGGCATTGAAAACTGAGCTCTTTTGTAGCCTAGAGGGCAGCTCCAAGAGTCAGTGAGTTCTGACCTGTGTCTCAGAGCAGAGGGAGGAGAAAATAATGGTTTTGATTTTTAATAAAAACCTGTATAACTTTCTAGCAAATACCATAAGGAACAGCAGCCTTTGCTAACAGTTCAGCCTGTTCTTATTTCAGCTGGAGTGTGAATTTAACAGCACAAGTCCTAAGGGACTGCTGAAAACCAAACAAAAACCAAAGACTTCATCCTGTACTTCTGCCCCAGAAAGTGGGAGAAACTTAAGTGATGCTCCATTCCCAACACGCTGTATTACAGGGCTTTGAATGACTCACTTCATAATTAATTACCGAGCTTAATAACGCTCCAAGGAAAGTGTGAGCTGCTGAAAGGCTGTGGGCACTGGGCAGAGGCTTCTGTCCTGTTTGAGATGACCTCTGCAGGAAGAAAACACTTGCCCTTGCACAAAGGAAGTTTTGTTCCTCAGCAGGAGATTCTGGAGGATGGAGCTGGTGTTGCCTGCAGCATGTGTGCTGTATTAAGTGTGATTCCTGTTTTGATTTTTGTTTGTTTTTGTATTTATTTTACTTTTTAGAAACCAAACACCACCTTAACCATTGTAGAGGGTTTAGCCTTCTATCCCTACTTGCACTCCCTCACAAATCCCCCACCCAAACCTCATCCAAGAGACACAGGCAGCATAAACACGAAGTCCCTTCAAAGGGAAGGAAACCCAAAGGGCCATCAAGTCAGGATGCAGACTGTGCTCTTCGGATACCTGACATGGACATCAGAAAAGGTATTCTGGAGAGACACACTCCAACCAACCTCCTCTCTCACTCAGTGGTCACACTTCGCAAGAAATCTTTCTGCTTTCACAAGGCACTTGCAATTTCTGGTTGCATTTTAACAAGTACTTCTGTCACTCTGCTCCGAAGGACAGTCATATCACTGCTAACACCTGGCAGGAGCTTTTCTAGGCAAAGCTTTGGGGCAACGCTTCTGCCTCCACTGCCCTCATACTGTCTTTTGAGCATGAAAGAATAAATCCTCTCTGCTTTGTGCAAAGACTCTGAAGTTACCCAAGCTGGGGACTTGCATGAGAAGTGAAAGGATGGGACATGACCAGGAGCTGCCAGCTGGGAAGGCAGGGAGCCAGAAGTGGCTGCGAGGAGGTGCCCGTGTGTGATCTGGAAAAGCCTTGTTGATCCAGCAATGTCCTCCTCCTCTTTCAGGAGGAGCCTCTTCAGAAACTCAGGGACTATTAGATGACCCCCAGTTGTCTCCAGTGGGCATTTGGCACACCAGAGCTGGGCACAGGGATGTGCTGATGCTGTCAGTCTCTATGCTTTGCTGTGATACAGCAGCTCTCCGGAAGGGGCTGCTGGGTCCATTATTTAAGTTCATCATTGGGGTTCATCACCAACTAGCTTTCCTTTAATAAGAGGGTTTTGTTGGATTGTACCTTATCTCTGTCAGCCTTCCTGGAAGTCCATAAAAACTGGTCACAGAGAAAACCAGGTTTGAGGAAAAAGGCTGTCAAAGCCCCAGCTTGTAATCTGCATGCAAACACAGCTCTTCCTCTTGCTGTCTTGACCAGGTTCATCTTCTCTTTCCATGGCTGTTCTTCCAGGCTGGAATGTGCAGGAGTCAAGGACTCCACTGCCATCAGGGTTGGAGGCTTTGGGCTGAAATGTGCTTGTTATGGAGCTGGAAAGGATGTGCATGTGGGCAGAGCTCAGAGCAGCGCTGCAGTGTGATGGTGTCCCACCTGAGTATCACAGCTGCCACTCACTTGTGCCTGAGCTGTTGACTCTGGGGGAGGAAACTATTTTCTATGTTTTCCTTAACCTTGCCCACCCAAACAGTGTATTTTTAAGTCCCCTGTGCAGGGGAGTACCAGAACCTCTGGATGCTTTCTTCATGGCCTGTGCTCCTGAGGAGGCCAGACATCTGCCACCTGCAGTTTGGTAGCCTGGGAGGGCAACGAGGACTTGCTGGGGATTGCCAGTCCTGGCAGCACATGCCATAGCACCCTGCCTTGTGGTGGACTCCACGTTTCACATGGACTCCCAGTATTCCGATCCTGTGCAGTGTGGCCAAGATCTGGATGCTGAAGTCTTTCATTCCTTGGTGAAGGAGTTTGAAGCAGGGTTGGAGATGATCCGGGTGCATGCTGCAGTGGGCAAAATACACACACATCCTTCCTCTCCTATCTCCAGAGGAGACATGTTTTGTCTTCTAGTTTGGCACAGGAATTCCCAGGCTGAATTTGAGCCTTGGGTTCCTCTCTTGGGGTCTGAACTAGCAGCCAGTTAATACCTGCCCTCTGGTGCCTTCCTATCTCCTTAAAACAAGGAGAGCTCAAGTGCTGCTGCTCCCACGTGTTCCTTCCTTGGTCTGGGCAGGCACTGAGCCCTGGGTTGGTTGTTGCCTCTTAACAGTACGACCAACAAGGGAGCAACCTCCCCATACCTGGTGCCAGGATCCAGAGCCCTGGGGCAGAGACCCGTGCATGTGGCCAAACCTGCTCTGTCTAAACAGGTCTTTTGCTTCCAGTTGCTGCCAAGTGGTGGGGAACCAAAAGGATCGACTACGCTCTCTACTGTCCCGACGCTCTGACAGCTTTCCCTACGGTCGCCTTGCCGCATCTCTTCCACGCCAGCTACTGGGAGTCCACAGACGTCGTCTCCTTCCTGCTGAGACAGGTCCTCCCCACCCCTGCTGTCCCCTGGGTCCTCTTTCTGCTGTGGGAAGGAAAAAAGGGGAGGGGGCTTCTTTGTTTTCCCATTGTAATTCCCGTAACTCTTGCTGCCGCAGGTCCATCTTCTCCCCTTTCTTTTTGTTTCTAACCTGTATTGCTAGCAGAGCCATGCAAAATTATTGGACATATGCTGTTTGATGTGTTCAGTTTGGGTCCAGGTTTTGTTATCAGAGCAGATTTTAGACAGTCTGACCAAGGAGCCTTGGAGTGAGCCTGGGGTTGTTTCCCATCAGATCCCAGCGGCAGAAGATGGTGGTTGTGTGTGACTTTGGATCTCTAGTCTGAAACTTAAACTTCTTGGTGTATAAATATAAAAAATATAGTAAAACTGAAGAAGTTTTGTATGAATTTAACATGAGTTGGTAGATAGGGCTGGGTTCTCAGTTTTGGCTAAGTTACCATGGGGGATTTAGTTTTCATTTCTCTAATACAAAGCAGTGTTCCTGGTGTTAGTTAAATGGGAGTTTCTGGAGCCTGACGCCTCAGACTCTATCAGCCTAAATTTGGCCTGAGACTTCAATTTACTGTTTAAAATATGTTTTTTCCTAAAACATATTTTTTTCTTCAGCTCCTTGGAGATGAGGGGGAGCTTTATGCCTTACAAAGTATGAACCTCCTTCAGGAAAGGTACTTAGGAGCATAGAGATAGAGAAAACTGAAACCAGGAGTGTTGCCCACTACGGTGCTTGGGCTTGCTTTGTGTTAGCTCAGCTGTTAAGCTGTCCCCACTCTCTCTCAGCCTCCTTCACTGCAGATTCAATTATTTATGACTCTGTTGGCAAACTTTCTTTCAGTGCTTTTCAGAATTGTGTGGGAACCATAAACAGCAGAGATATCAGTGCTGGAGGCAGCAGAGCTGTAGCAGTAATCCAGGGAGACCCTTTCTTCTCTGGCTGTATCTAATTCAGCAAGATTTATGCTTGCTGGTTAGCTGCTGTGAAACCACATCAAACTTAACCTAATGGGGACAAAGAGAGCAAGAGCCCTGTAATTGTGCATAGTGGGAACATCATCACAGAGTCATATACAAAATGCCCCACTGGGTTTAGCCCAAACCTGGGTCTGTGGCACTTCATATCCTGCTGCTCTCCATCCGTTCTCAGCCTGCTGGTGACTGCCTCTGTGGTGTGGCATCCCTCCTCCTCTGGTGCCTGTCTCTGTTCGCTCATTTTTGCCTTGAAATTCTAATTTTTCACATTCTTTGTCCTCTTGCTGTCCTTACAGAATGCCAAGCCACTTCTTTCCCTAATAAGGACTTGTTTCTAATCTCTGGACAAGGCAGAAAACTGTTGAATAGTTTTATTCTTCAAAGACTGACTCTTGTTAAAACAAGCCCAAATGAGACTCAGAATAGGTTCCCGATCTAAATAATTTTCAGTAGAATTTGTTATTCTGCTTACCTTGGATTTCCATGAAATCCCTTCCCAGCAAGCACATCTTCCCTGCGTCCTTTTTCTGTTTTCCTGGAATTAAAACAGCTTCAGCTCTGCAAAGCGAGCTGTCCTGTGCCAGACTACCACAGCCTGGGCAGCTGGAGAGCTGCTGGCCACACAAGCTGTGTAAAAGAGCCCGCACATAAGAGTCTCCTCCACTATTTTGGAGGGTCAGGATCACTAAGGACTACTGCCAGTTGTGGAGTTCTCTTGCAGGGTCACCTCCCAGCCTTTGAGATACCAATTAGCCTTTGAGATCTGTGGTGTTCAACTCTGAGTGGAAAGGGGAGAGTAGGAGCGATGTAGGTGGGATTAGTGAATGCCTGGAGGAAGGGCAGGGCTCTGTTGCAGAGCTCTTCCTGCTGTGTTTGAGTCAGCTTTGTGCCTCCTGGCAGTCTCACCCTCCTTTTTTACCTGCATCCCAGCTAGGATTAAGGCAGTGGTGGCCACAGGCTTTGCTAGTTCAAAAGAAAACTATTTTCCCTTTACTTATGGGAGGAACTTCTAAAACCTACTAGCTGATGAACCAAATGCCCAGCGGGTAAACTTGGGCCATCTCTGTCCAGGCATTGTCCTTGGTAGGGCTGGCTGGGGAGACGAAGGGAGTTCAGGCAGGAGAAAAGGCACTGTGCAAGTGACTGATCTGTTGGTGGGCTCTGTCCTCCCACAGGTGATGAGGCATGAGAACTCGAGCGTCTTGGAGCTGGATGGGAAGGAGGTGTCTGTCTTCACCCCCTCCAAGCCCCGCGAGAAGTGGCTGCGCAAGAGGACACACGTGAAGCTGCGGGTAAGAGCTGCCCCTGCAGCAGCAGGGAGCACTGTCACATAGAGGGGCTGAGAGCTGTGGATGAACTGGAGGGAGAAATCCACACTCTGATTTGCCTGGTTGCGTTTGGCATTTCCCTGTGGGATGTTTCATCAGTGAATTTGTGGAACTGACCCTTTGGTTTTGCTTTTTTCTTTTTTCCTTCTTGACTTGTGTAGAATGTCACAGCCAACCACAGGATAAATGACACCATTGCTAATGAAGATGGGCCCCAGACCCTGACTGGAAGGTTTATGTACGGTCCATTAGATATGGTCACACTCACAGGAGAAAAGGTACCATCTACTATGGGGGTTGTGCACCATGTGCTGAAAAGAATGGGGAACAGGGACAGGCAGCACTGATCAGTGCTCCCTCGCTGCCTGCCTGGGCTTGCTGCCCTTGGCCAGGCTCCCCTGCTTCAGCTTGTGTGGTACCTTCTACCAGGAACCAGCACTGAGCACAAAGGTCAGATTTCATCCCTGCATTGCAGTGCTCCATTGCTTCTCAGCTCAGATCTAGCAAGGCATAGAGGGTGGAAGCAGGACTCAGGCCAAAGGGGCTTGGATGGAAGGCCCTCACCCTTCGCCTGTTTTACTGTTCGTCAGTGTCTTCAGTGCTGTGTTTGACCCAGACTCACTGTCTTTCCAGGTGGACATTCACATCATGACCCAGCCACCATCAGGAGAGTGGGTTTACTTTGACACTGAGATCAGCAACAGCAGTGGCAGGATTTCTTATGTCATCCCTGAGAACCGGCGCCTGGGCATTGGCGTGTACCCCGTCAAGATGGTGGTCAGGTGAGGTACCTTGGGTGGCCATGGCTTAGTTTGTGACAGGATACAATAGGTTTGAAACATGCCATGTGGGCTGCATGACAAAGCCATAGACCTGTTACCCATAACAGAAGAGAAACTTGATACCTAGAATATGATCCCTCCTTGTGTGGCAGCTCTGATTTTTTAATGTGATCAGAACCTGGTTTGCTAGAAACAGGAACAAAGCTGTGCTCTGCAGCTGTAAGAGGAAGGTCTGTGTTTTATTCTGCCTCTTACATTACCAAAAGGATGGTAGTTGAGCTCTGCTTGCAGAAGCAGGCCTTCTGCGGCTGTAGGTGAATGGCCTTGCTGTCTCTTGCAAAACTGCACAACTGAGTGTATTTTAAATGATATAGACTTGTCCTTGAAGGAAAGTACTTTGTACTCAGGGTAATTTACAGCCCAAGAGGTTCCAGCTGAGCTCTGGTTGCTGGCACTTTGAGTCACTGAAGTACACTGACTGTAAAGCTCCAGAGCACAGTTTTCAGCCACACTTTAACACACTGTCCTTCCTGCAGTGTCTATCACTGCTGTAACTGAGGGTGGCATAGCTCTTACAGGCTTTGGGACAAGTTTTGGTGCTGCTCAAGGCTTGTGGTGCACTTCAGTACTCAGAGATACGTTCTGAAAGAACCTCTGTATATCAAAGACTGGAAGTACCCATTTCCCTTCCAGGGGTGACCACACATATGCAGACAGCTACATCACAGTTCTGCCAAAGGGGACAGAGTTTGTGGTGTTCAGCATCGATGGCTCCTTTGCTGCCAGCGTATCCATCATGGGCAGCGACCCCAAAGTCCGCGCTGGAGCAGTTGACGTTGTAAGGTGAGCAGCAGGGGCTGGGATGGTTGGTTTGTTCTGACCATAGCATTGCACTAGGTCTGTAATCCATGAGTCTGTGGATTTTCTTCTAGGCACTGGCAAGACCTTGGCTACCTCATTATCTATGTCACGGGCCGCCCCGACATGCAGAAGCAGAGGGTGGTAGCATGGTTAGCACAGCACAACTTCCCCCATGGGATCGTCTCTTTCTGTGATGGGCTCGTTCACGACCCACTGCGGCACAAGGCCAACTTCCTGAAATCCCTCATCACAGATGTAAGTCTGCATCTGCTGAAATATGACCGTAGCACAGGTGGAGATTGCTGCTCATCCAATTGCCCCTGTCAGCACCAGTCTCTTGGCAGCAATGTGGCCTGCAGTAGAAGATTAATCTCTGTTCATTTTATTTTCATCCTTTTATTTCTCCACAAACTGTCCATGCTGTTAAATAGTGTCATTTCTGCTCTGCACTGTTCCATTTCATCACAGGTTCTTCCAATACAGAATGCCAAGTGAAACAGAGGGAGCAGTGCCTCCCCTTCCCTCCTCAGGTGCTTTAGTCACCTGTTCACCTGTGTAACCTGCTCTGAGGTGCCCTTTGGAGGGAATGGGGAATGGCCTTGCACCACCCAAACCGGAGAGGTGCGCAGAGCATCTCCCAAACATTCAGCCCCAGGGAGATCTTAGCGTCACCCTGCACAGAGGCTCAGAAAACGTTTGGATAAAGCAAGCTTTTCTCTGTCAGACAAATGGATTAACTGCTAGCATCCGGAGCATGTGTGCCCTGCCTTGAATAGCACTGATGAGGGCTTTGTCCAGGGGCTGCCTTTACTCTGTGCCCTCAGAGGCAGCATATTTTGCTGCCTGTCCTTCTCCCTCTGTCCTGCAGCACTGAGTAGCAGTATTGCATGTGGCAGCACGGCCACTGGAGGGGAACGCTGCGTGCTAATGCTTGCTGTGCAGGGGGTTGCAAAGCTCTCTTCTCCCTCATTGACAAGCAGGCAGCCAAGTGTGCACCATCCCTGCCCCCTGTGGACCTCAATGAAAGGCAGCAAGGGCAGATCTGCTTTGCTGTTACTCTTCTTGTTCTGGCCTATAAACATCCTCAGCTCTGTTAATTAATGCTTTGCTCAGCGATGCATTATCCAGCTGGGAACTTACATAAGTTATTGACCTAAGATTCCCACAAATGCTATTAAAAAACAACAAACCCTGCCTGTTGAGCAGCATGGAGCGCCCATATGTTCCGACCGCGTGCTGCTTTTTCTCTCTGCAGCTCCACATGAGGATCCATGCGGCATATGGATCCACCAAGGACATCTCTGTGTACAGCTCCATCAGCCTCCCGCCCACACACATCTACATTGTTGGCCGACCCACCAAGAAGCTGCAGAGCCAGTGTCAGGTAGGAGCCAGCTGGTCTGAGCCCTGCAGGTGCTGCCCAAAAAACCATGGGCTTGCCATTGGAGGGGACACAATGGGAACTTGGGCACCCTAGAACTGGATGATGAGCTGGTGTTTGCTGTCTGCTTACTGTGTGCAGTAGAGGAGAGACATGGATCTGGTGGAGTGAGTCAAGAGGAGGGCCACAAAAATGACCTGAACAGTGAAACATCTCCTTGCGAGGACAGGATGAAAGCTGGGGCTGTGCAGCCTGTAGAAGAGGGGGCTCTGAGGAGAGCTGAAAGTGGCCTGTCAGTGTCTGAGGGGCTTTAAGAAAGAACAGCGTTTAGCAGGGTCTGTGTTGTAGAACAAGGGGAATTGGTTTCAAACTTAGAGGCAGATTTAGACTGGGTAAAAGGAAGAAGTTTTTATAAAAAGGGTGATGAGGCACTGCACGAGGTGCACAGAGAGGTGGTGGTGCCCCATTCTTACAGACAGCCACGGTGAGGGGACGAGGCTGTGAGCACTGATGGAGCTGTGGGTGTCCCTGTGCACTGCAGACCTTTAGAGGTCCCTTCCAACTCAAGCAATTCTGTAATTCTAAGAGGACAGGAACCACCCCGTGTACCAGGTCCTATCATGTCTGAAAGGCTCGGTGTCTTGTGCATCGCCCCCAGCAAACCTGGCACACCAAAAGGCTTCAGCTGCATAGTGCCTACTGGGGAGACACGATGGCTTTCCCTGCCCTCATCCCTCTTGTCTTGCAGTTCATCACGGAGGGGTACGCGGCCCACCTGGCCCAGCTGGAGTACAACCACCGCTCGCGCCCCGCCAAGAACACCACACGCATGGCGCTGCGCAAGGGCAGCTTCGGGCTGCCCAGCCAGACTGAATTCCTGCGCAAAAGGAACCACCTGCTGCGGACCATCTCCTCACAGCCCTCAGCAGCTGGAGGCAGCGCCGGCCACCGCCCTGAACGCACCCAGAGCCAGTCCGACGGCGACAAGGAGAGGGACAGGGAACGCAGCCAAAGAAGTATGAGCATCGCCACGGGGTGCTGGGGCCGCAGCCCAGCGTCCCGCCTGGAGTCTGGCCTCCTGGGGCAGAAGTAGCCGAGCCAGAGCCAGCGACCTGTCGGCTGCAGCCACCGGAGGAGAGAACAAAAGGAAAGAGGGATGAGGCCGGCGTTAACGTGGAAGGGTAAATATGGTGCTACTCTCATAACATCGTGGTATTCTGGGAAGAGATGGGATGTTTCCCACACAGAACGTGCAGGCCTTGCAAGCGGGAGCGTCAGGTTTGTGCGGCATGAGCTCAAGGAACAGCTGGAAATTGGAGGGGGAAGTCTCCAGGTCAAGGTTGTGCTCTTTCCTGCCTCCTTCTCTTATCCAGGTATAGTGACTGTAAATACGTGCCTCCTCACCTTCTTAGCCATCGCTCCGATATGCGTGACCGAGTGCTGTCCTCAGAGCCACAGAACAGGGGGTGAGGTTGGGGAATTTGCTCGTGGCTGTCCCAGGAGCTGCCGGAGGGGCTTTGCCGGTGCAGGGGTGGGGTTGGGGTCAGTGAGCACACTGCTCCTGCAGCACGGACAGCCCCACGTGTGGGATTTGGCGTGGGCTGTGCCAGGCAGAGCGACCAAGAGCTTTACCTGTACAGAGGGCTTCATGTTCAGCCATGTTCTCAAGGAGTATGTGCAGTGGCAAAACAGAAGGGTGTTGATGCTCTTGGTAGGGGCAGAATGTCGGCAGATTCACGCCCAAGCAACTGGGGTCGAGACTACTATTATTTTTTAACGAGACATTTTAGAAGCCGATGGAATTGAATGCATTGACCTCTGAACAGAAGAATACAGGCTATTCTGTTTGAGCTGTCGCAAGCCTCAGACACTTAATTTGCTGTTAAATCTCCAAATATTATTGCTATATATAATTTCCAGAACTAACCACCGTATATTTGCAAGCAGTTCTTCTCATCCAAATGCAGGGTCTGACTCTCTCAACACCCACCTCGGAGACATTTTCTTCTTCCTGGGTTCTCTCCAAGTTCAGTAGCAGCTTCAGTGGGAACCAGACTCGCTTCTTTGACCTGTAGTTACTGAACTGTAAAACCTCATTGTTTTTTGCACTGATGATTTTTAGAATGGAAACCTGTTACCATCTCATGTAGCTACACCCAACTGTTTGTAGTGCATGACAATTAAATATCGCTACCAGGGTGTGTGTGTGTGTATATCTATATATAAAGATGTGCATATATGTATGCACACACACACACACGTATATATATGTATGTGTACATATTTAAAGAAAATAATCCTGTGCAGAAGTTTTTCCAGCAGTAAGGAGACTGTAAGGAAGTGTGCCAACAGAGTCAGGCAAGCATAAGAAAAGGCCATATCTGAATTTTCCTGGTGTGTCTCTCAGTGGATGTGCCTGAGCCGACGGTCGGTGCGCTGCTGGAGCCGGGGCTGTGCGTGGCAGAGGGAGCTGCCTGCCGTGCTGCAGGTGAGAACAGTGCCTGGTGTGGGGGCTCAGCAAAGAGCCCCACAGCCCCGTGCCCCCGGCCAGAGGCCCGGCTCCCTCCTTGCACACACTTGGGCGGCCCATTTACAGGCTCCAGTTGGCCTCTTCACGTGGAGATTTTATAGTCCTACTGAGCTCCCCAACTACGTGTAACCCAGCTTTCCCCCACCACACCTTCCTGTATTTATACCACTTTCTACTTCCGATGATCTTATTTATAACAAAATTTTTTAGACTGGCTGCTTCATTTTATTAACTGTTTCAATACGAAGCGCAGGACGGCCGCACTGAGACACGCAGCACTGTGAACACTGCTCTGCTCATTGGCCTTGGGCCACGGTAGGCAGATCTCGCATCAGGCACCTCAGACCTCGTGCTCACGGCGCTTTGGGTCGACTGAGGGACAGTGCTGAGCCGAGGCTGCTGCCCACACAGTGCAGCTCCCCGTCCTGCAGCCTGACTGCACACCGCATAACCACTCCTCTTTGATAGTTCTTCAATTACAGAATGTATCTGATGACTTTTATTACCGAAAACTGACTTCCCTTTCTGTGGACTCAGCTGAGCTCTCTCTGAATGTACATCTGGAGCTTGCTGGGTTAAAAACCAATGTGAATTGTCCCAGCTTTTTTGCTAGTCGAACGTTCGATCGAACAGTTGCCATCCGAGTAGGAAGCCAAGCCACAATCCATCCTGTGAAGTCACCAAACCACATCACTAAATAATTTCTGCAAATTTGGATATGGCCTTTGCAAAATTCCTCTTTCCTCAAAGTCCACCACCGAGGCGAGGCGCAATCTGTGCGTTTTCCAATGCTGATGAGATGTTCACGTTTTCTTATGTGTAGATAGTGTAAAACAGAGGCGAATGTAAATTTTCAACATAAAAAGTGGATATGTAAAATTGAAAGCTATTTATTTATGTAGAGGAAGAAATGGCTGGAGGGACTGGAGCCTTCAGGGTTTATTAATATTTAAAAATGTAGCTTTTTGTTTCAGGCATTATGTACAAAGCAATTACTTCATGGACCAACTTTAGCGTAACTGTCAATGAATGCAGAAGTGCAATATTATACTCACCTCTCCATCACTTCACGTTCCCAGCAGCTACTGACCAGTTAGACTGACAATCATAGCGCTCCGTCCTCACCCTTTGTTCAGCTTCTTGAAATTCCCCAGGTCCTTTCCATGCCCCCCATCTGTTGCCATTGTGCAAATCCAACATGGAGAAGCAATTGTAGAGCAGGACCTTTATTGCTGCAATAATACCAGATGACGTGGGTGTAGTTACCAGGAAATATGCCAATGAGTTTTCTTCACCAGTTCAGTCCATCACAGTACATCAGTCTATCTTCAGCCACCCCCATCTGGCACTCATCTCTTCAAAGCAAAGATCAACGTGCTACTCACTCAAAGAACAATAGCAATAGTTTAACTCTGTTTATAACTTGTTTGTTCTGAGCTGTTTTGGAGAGCGATGCATGTGACTCAATGCCTTTCCACGTGTCTGGAAGAGGATCCACTTGGATGCAGGGAGGGAAACACAAATGTATATTCCATCCTTACTAAAGGGGCACTGTCAGGTTAAAGACCTAATTTATCTTTGTTGCAAATAACTCATTTGCTTTGAAACGAAAGACTATGAAGAGTTGCTTGGCCTCCTCCCTCTGGCTGTTTGGGCAGCCCTCAGCCCATGTTGTTCCTACACTTGCACAACACAGCACACCCTGCACAGGCTGCCTTAGGCTTCTCTTTTTTTATTTCTTTTCCTCTCTTTTTTCAATTGCTTCCATCAGAATCAAACTCCACCGTGGAGCTCAGATTTTTCTAACAAGCAGCTTTTTGTATTCCCGAACAATTGGGCCAGACTTCGCACCTGACGCTGTCCCTTTAAAATCTTGTTTTTTTTCTTTTTAATTAATAAAAAAAAGCCCATGCATTCATTCCGAGTCATTTTCCTGGGTTGCTCACTCTGTCAGATGAGGTGAAATTCTCATACCAAAAACGTTTACAGTGTCCGATCCGCGAGCCGAGCGCAGGAACCAGCCAAAGGCTCACCGCCGCCGCCGCTCCGCCAGCAGCCGCCGTGCTTGCTGTAGCAGCCCCTTCTTCAGGTATTGCCACTTTGCTGCATTTCCTATTAGTTCTAGAAGCCTTACGGTCCCTTCCCCATCCTCAGCACCCTCTCTGCCTGTTGATACCCTCGACTGTCGGTTTTATATTCAACGATGTTAATTCTATTTTATTTATAAAAAATTGCTCTGGGGGAGTGACAGGTGGGTGCGTGGGGAACCACCAGAGGGCACAGCGCGGCGCTGCGTGCACCCGCGTGTACAGCGCCGTGCAGACGACTTGCTTGTGTGTGACAAACCTTCTGTACAAATTCCTTCTCCTCCTTGCTGTTAGTGCATCGTCCCAATGCCTGGGTGTGCTTTGTGTACAGTATCATTGTGAGTTACACAGATTAAAGAAATGGGAAGGCTCGTCTCTGTCTGCTTATTTGGGAAGTTCTAGAAACAGAAGTCACAAAGCCCAGAACGTGAGCAGGCGCCACTTTAATGGGGGTTAGAGCAACAAACAGAGCATGGAAATCTGTGCAGAGCAGTCCTGCAGTACTCGTCTGTCCTATAACCACTTTTTTTTATTACTTTAAAGTTTGTAGATGTATGAACTTTGCAGTGGGGGAAAACAACAGGCATTTGTGTTACAGCTTCTATGGGTGTGGGCCCTGAGCTGCTGAGAGCCTTGCTGCCACATGGGGCCTACGCTGCAGGAAAAGGCAGGAAGAGAGCAAGGCAAAGGCTCCTCTCCACACAATGGGTGAGCAAAACCCCTGCCCCCAGGTTCTCAGTGCATGGGGCAGACAGAGCAGCACAAGAAGGGCCAGAAGCAGCCCCTGAAGGGAAGACGCAGCTGTCAGTGTTGCAGCCCTGCTGCAGACCCTGTGCCAGCTCCTGCCAACAAAAGCCCAGAGATAAGGCATCAGCATTTCTGTGCTGCTGAGCTCCTCAGGCCTTAAAAGGGTCACAAGGGCAAGCAGCATTACAGCCATGCTGGCCCCAGTTATGAAAGGGAGGAGAGAAGCTGTTTAATGGGAGATGAACCATTAAGGTCTTTCTCCTTCCCAGTCAGTAACTTACAGACTGAATGACGCTGCCCCCAGGGAAGCGTACCGATGCGGTGCTGCCTGCAGGTCCAGTTCATCAGTGCACCAGGGCTGTGTCTGCAGCAGGACGAGTCTCTGGCACAGCTACAGCACAGGCTCACTGCAGCATCCCCGTTCTCACCTGGAAGGCCAGCCCATCCCCACGGGTGGCTTGCTGGAAGTGGAGAAATGGGCACTCAGAGCACAGCCTTTACCAGGACAAAAGACCACAACACTCACTGGCTGGGGCCTCTGTGGGGCTGCCAGGACTCTGTTTGCCCTGGTGGGGCCCCTTGAGAGGCAAAACAACCCAGCAATCAGCCCCAGTACCTTGTTAATCTCCTTGTGTCTCTCCTTGCTGACGATCTCCTCCAGCACTTCTCCATCTCCCTTAATAAGCCTGAAAGACAAATACAGGACCATGAGGTGTGAGGACTATCTGCCAGCCACGTTGGTTCCCCTGCCCTATGCAATATGTGCCAGGAAAACAAAATTGAACAAAATTCTCCAGCAACGTATGGGACAGACACACATGGGACCAGGAGCTGGGCTGGTGCACCTCTGTGCTAGTCCAGAGACTGCCCCAACCCTTGAAGCTCTATCATGTGCCATCTTAGTTTTATCTGGGATGGATTTTTCTTCAGAGTGTCTGGTATAATGCTATATTTTGGTTCTAGGAGAAAAACAATGCTGATAACACACTGATGTTTATAGCGTCTGCTAAACAGTGTTGTACAGAGCCAAGGTCATTCTCAGCAAAGGGCACAAGGAGCTGGGAGGGAAATGAATTAGGACAGCTGACTGAAACTGGCCAAAGGGATATTCCATACCATACAGCATCAAGGGGAAGGACTTCTGAAGGGGGTGGGAGTTCACCTCTCTCTTTCAGTGCTTATGGGGCTAGCTGGGCATCAGTCGGGGGGTGGTGAGCAATTGCTTGTGCATCAATTGTTATATATACTTTTATATATATTTGTCATAATTATTACACTTTTCCTTTTCTCTTAGTAAATAGTTTTATCTCAACCCACGAGTTCTACTTTGTTTTCTTTCTCCTGTTTCTCTCCCCCTTCCCACTGAGAAGGAGGGGAGTGAGTGAACAAATGTATGGTGCTTAGCAACCTGCCAGCTTAAACCACAACACATCATTTTGGCCATATCAACTTTTTCTCTTGCTCTTATGTGATGAGCATCAGCAAGCTGCAGCCAGCACAGCTGTGGTCCCTGAGAAAGCAGCATCCCCCTGCAGGGACCAACTAGCCCTGTCCAAGGCTGAGGGCCCTGCATCTGTTATGTACTGAGCCAGTCACACTTGCACACTGCAGGAGAAAATACCTGTAATAGAAACATCTCCTTCCATCCCACCACCTGCAGAAGCTTCTCTGTCAACAACAGTGGACTCAACTTCTGCAAAACTTTTTTTTTTTCCATCCCCCACTGAATTCAAATCTGCTTCTGACTGCCTGAGGGAGCTGCAAGGCCATTCAAATAGGAGCCAGTTTTGGCCTGGAAGGCAGCCAGATCAGGACATCTCACCCAAGCTTATTTCCAGCATCATCAAAGACAGCTCACAATCCCTAGCATGAACAGGAATTTAAATGTCTTCATTACATGCTTTACATGGAACTGACTTTAGTTCCACACCTCCCTAAGTCCCGCAGGCTGCCTTCTATTTTAAGACTGGACTTGTCATACCCAATTCTCCTCACCGTGATGTTTTCTGTTTGCTGGAAGGTGCAGCGTATTACAAACTGGGTCATTTCCATTTGGCTGCTATATGGACTTCAGTCCGTTGTCTGTAACTCCAAGGGGAACATACCCACTCCCTCCCCACTCTCACACCTGGATGCTAACTGGAGCTGGGGCACCAGTGGCTGGGAATGGCATTTTGCAGCTCTGAAACTCAGTATAAAATTGCCACTTTCAGGGTAAGCTACAGCAGGTTTGATGGAGAGGACCTGCGTGACAGATATTGCTGCTGAGGGGGACCTGACTCCAGGCAGTACTGCACATCTTCCAGTATCCCATCCCATTCAACCTGCACAGCAATGGACAAATCCATCACCTCTCTTCTGCCCAAAGCAGCCATACCTGGTTCTCCCTGTTTCAGGATCCACCACTCTTCTGATAACACTCTGCCTCGCATCCCATTCCTCCTTTGTCATTGGCTTCATAGCCTGGATCCGGGACTTCTGCTCATCTGTCAAAACTGGAACATGTCCATTAGTCAGAGCTGTGCTGGCAGGACCAGCAGCCACAGCATCGTGCCTGCAGGGAGCAGATGGGAACACAGCACCAGATACTGGTGGTTCAATAAAAAACCATGCAAGGGACAGCCTGGGTGTGCTTCATGTCCCAGATGGATGTAGGCAGCAATTTTATCATAGAATGGTTTGGGTTGGAGGGGACCTTTAAGATCATGTAGTTCCAACTCCCTGCTATAGGCAGGGACACCTCCCACTAGATCAGGTTGCTCACAACCCCATCCAGCCTGGATGTCACTGCCGTTACTGCTGACAGCATCCTTTCATCCAGCATCTTTGTTCTCAGCTCACATTCACAAATCAGAATGAAATTCATCAATGAACTCACACGCGTGGCTCCTTACATTTACTGCTGTGGGCCACAGGGAGAAGAGCCGGATGCCCCTATGGGCCCAACCCCAATCCCACCAGGGAGGCAGCAGCCATCAGCCCGGGGTTACCTGGCCCGGGGTCCACCTGTGGCTCCTTCTGCCACAGCTCCAGTGAAGGGCCAGGCAGTGCCTCACCCACACCTCTGTCCTCCTTAACTCTTTCTTTTGACTTCTTCTTCAATTTCTTCTTTAACTTCTTCTTCTTCTTCTTGTCTTTGTGTTTCCCTCGCTTCCTTCTGCCGTGCCGCTTCGCTCTGGTGTCACTGTCACTGGAGGAGGAGGAGGATGAGGAGCGGGAGGAGGACGAACTGTCAGAGGACGAAGCGTTTGCCTTCCTCTTCTTTTTCTTCCTTCCCTCCTTCTTCCTTCCTGCAACACACAGCGGGAGTTCAGCACAGCACCACGGGGGGGGGCCGGACCGCGGGGGACAGGGCCCTCCCTACCTTCCCTGGCGGCCGCAGAGCTCGGCCGGTGCCGGGGACCCGGAGAGGCCGCACCGCTCCTCGCGCCGCGCCTCTCCCGTCCGCTCCCAGAGGGGCTGCGGCTGCTGCTGCTCCGGGATCGCTTCCGGGACCGCCCGCGGGCCATGGTGCGCCGGGGTCTGCGGAGAGAGGTCAGCGCTACGGCCCGACTGGGAATGCCAAAGGGATCTAAGAGGTGTGCTGTCCCTTTAAGAGGCGCGCGCACTCCGGCCCTTCAACTGCCGTTCCGCGCCGCCGCCACGCGCACGTGCTCACCGTTGTCCACGGGCCTCACCGCGCGCACCGAGCGCCGCGCCGCCGTTACAGCCCCGGATCTCACTTCCGGTCCCACCGCCCACTTCCGGTCCCTCACTCACAACGCGCCGCCCGGGTAGCTGCGCCGCGCTCCGTGGTTCCGCTTAGCGCTCGCGGAGCCACTCACGGCGCGGGGACACCGACGGCGGCAGCCACAGCGCAGCGCTTCTGCCGCTGGGCTGCGGGCGGAGGCCCTCAGGCTGCCATTCCTCCTCCCGCAGCCGGTTGCGGAGCGTCCCTGAGAGCTCCTGCGAACAGCGCCAAGTGGAGCACGTGGGGATTTATTGCACTGCTCTTTTCCACGTACACGCGGAGCGCACCGCCCGTCGGCACAGACGTCTCCGCAGATGAAAAGCAGCGCCGGGTCTTGTCCTGCACACCTGCACGGTTGGCAGTCCTTGCAGTGAGTCAGCGCTGGGGCTTTGCACGTCTCCGCGCTCCTCCAGCGCTCCGATGTGTGGCTGCGCGCCCTCGCCAGCCCTCGCAGCAGCAGCGGGAGCAGCTGGCTTCCCAGCAGGACCGGTTTGGTGTCACCTTGCACGGTGACAACTCCCTCTTAAATGACTCAACGTCCACCCGAGGCTGTCAGCGCGGTCCGAGAAGGCAGAAAGCAGCTGGAGGCGATCTGTTCTGCAGAAGGCATGCCCCACCTGCTACCACACCGAGCAGAGATCCACGGTCTCAGGCACGTCTTCTTCACAGGTTTCTGTGAACCCGTCTCCAAACCCCTCTGCCTCCACCAGTTGGGGTTTCTGGTTGCACATGGGACACAGCTGGTTGCGGATGGCTGATGATCTCATCCAAATGATGAGGTTCCAGCGTTCCCCCGAGGCAATGGGAAGCGCCCCGTGGATCTGCCCTCCTCGGTGCAGCAGCCCCTGGGTTCCCACGTGTTCCACCTCTATGTAGTTTGGCACAGGGGAAGGATCCTGGAACAAAGAGAGGTGGATATGGCATTACACCAGAAAGTCCCTAAAAGAACAGAGTTCAAGTAGTTGAATTTTCTTCACCCACAGTTCAACCAGTCACAGTAAGCCATTTTCAGTGCCAGGTCCAGAGAAAATTTAAAGGCAGTTTCAATTAAAACAACAACAACAACAAACCAGTTTCACCAGTGTGGGGTTTTTTAATCCCTCTCTTGTTTAGAATTCCCTGGAAAAAATGGATATGGAATTAAGTCTCATCTTAAGTAACTTCTGTCTCTCTCAGCACCTCTTTGATCATTATTTTCCTTGTGGGAAGATGGGTTTGTTTGCTTCACTCCAGCTGCTACTACAGTAGCTGTGTCTGTCCTCTCTTTGAATTGGCTGCAATTAGCTTGAATATTGCTAACTTATTTATAGCAGTAGAGGTCCCTACCTAACCACTACATTGTAGAAAAGGGGAAGGGACAGAGGATTTGACTGTCAGAAGTGAGCAACTGCTTTTTAGAACATAGTTAATGCCCTGAAACTGGAGGACAGAGGGGAACAGAAATAGGGTCCAGATGAGGAATGTGTTCAGTACCTGTCTGAAATCCCCGAAATACAAATTGCCTTCTGTGAAGTCTTTTCCCAGAGAAACGTTTAGGGTGACTTCTGCATTGTCATAATGAGAGCTCAGATCCAGATCTTCATGCAGCGAGTACTTGACAACAAATGCCTTATGGCTGTCCAGGCAGGCACCCCCCAAGTCAGGATAAAGCAGGGCTGTGATGGGACGCAGATACTTTTCACGCAGGGGTGTGATGAAACTTTCATCCATCCCTAGCTCGTTGAGTAAAACCTGTTTCAAAGAGAGGAGATGGAACACCTGACCAACAGCTGGGTACATCTGCTGTTTCATCAGAGCAGCTGCTGAGCTGTCTTGCACTTTTCCAATGCTGCTGCTCGCTCAAAGAAAGGACCAAAGAGCTCCAGGTACAGGGGAGGAAAGAGGATCAAGGTAGAAACTGATAGTGAACACAGTAAGATCAAAAATTGAGTGTCCTTTAAAAACATACTCTTTGATTTAAATATGTGTTGCTTAAATGCAAGGTGCTCATTGCTTTGAGATACCAGATCCCACCCCTACTCCCTGCTTTTGCCCATCCTTTTGCCTCTGGACAAATAACATACATTCCTTCAACCCTTTCATTTCAAAGAGTCTGTACTCAAACTATGCTGCACTCAATATAAACAGTTTGGAATGGAAAGAATTGTGAAGCAAGGAGGTAAACTGTGCTCAGGAACACTCCCCCTAAAGAAGCACAAGAGCTGATGAGTCCTACCCCATAGTTATTCATGCTGTTGGGCCTGCCTTTAGGCATGTCCGACTGCTCAAAGTTCTCCAGCTCCTCAATAAAGGCTTGGCAGAACTCCTCTGTGAACACTGGGAGTCGAAAGATCCGCTTATCTGTCAAGAAAAGGAGACAGTGTTTGCTGGGGTAAATAACATGAAAGTCTTCTTAGCTGTTGTGTTTTCTAGCTAGACTATGCTGGTGCTGGTGAGAAAGCAGCACCTGTATTTTTCACTTTATGCTCTGGCTGCTCAAAGAGTTGGCACTGTTCCTCAGGATCAGCTCTGGGATGGATTTGTTGTTTTTCATGTCGACCCTTTGCTTCCAGGCTTCCCCATCCCCATCAGTTGTGAGACCTGGCACTGATTTAAATGCCTGCAGTAGGTGCTCAGGAAATGCTCTGAGAGGGCCCAGAAGCTGAGAGGGAGGGCAGTAAGTCAGCAACTCATCACTGGCAGTCCTATGGATGAAAGGGACTCAAGGTCATTTAGAGGAAGGGGAATTTACTTGTCCAGCCCATCTTTCTGGGAACACCAGGCCATCTGTGCTGCTTTTCAGGGTAGAGCCATAAAGGTCTAAGGGGAGCTCAGTATTAAGGATATAGGAGCTGTGATAAAGACAGTGTGAAAAGGTAATGTGCCTGGAAACTACTTCTTGGGAAAATAACCAACAGCAGCCTTGTACACACACACTTGTCTCTTTCTTTTTGTCTTGAGAAAAAGAGGCAACTTTGCAGCTTCCCTTCCAAATTTTGTCAGTGTTTCTGGCAGGGAGAGATCTTCAAAAATGCCACCAGGGAAGCTGAAAGCACAGATTTAAAAGGCTGAAAACTAGACTGAAAATATTTCAGCTCAGACTAACCAAAGGGAATTGTCTGAAATGGGGAAGCACCGGGGAGGGAAAACCAAGCCCCTCAAGCTAAGATTTCCTTCACAGCAGGCTCCCCTGTGAGGTTATGGTACAAGCAAAACCCCAGCCCTGCTGCAGTGAGAGCCTCTGATGAGACATCAGCAGACTGGGATTGGAAAAGCAGAAAACAGGATCTCAACCACAACGTAACTGCTGCACAATACTGCCTCTCCAGAGACTCTCGTCAAGCAGAAAATAACATCCTGCTTGTCCCGGCTGTGTATCAAAACTGAGCTGTCAGAAACAGGGCTTGGAAACAGCTGCCATCACTGAAGCTGTGAACACATGGGTGTTCTCTGTTGATGATGGGTTGTTTTCTGTACCTGAGAAGGACTCGGTGTAGCGCAGGAGGCCATGGAGATTAGCATCCGGTGATGTGCAGTATCTAACGATTTCTAGAAAACCTGGGGCCAGAAATGAATCCTGGTGCCAAGGGAAGGATGACAAATGTAAACAGAAACACAATTAGCTTGCAGAATCTTCTACAGCCTGAGAGGGAAACGGACTTTCACATACACACAGGAAAATATGTAAAGCCTAGGGAGCGAGGCTGATAGTTGCACTTGGCTTACTTTTGTGGCAGGAAATGTTACCAGCAAATTGTGTCTTGTTGTAGTTCATGGGTATTTCTAACTATAACTGTCCAGATTTATTCTTAGCGCAATGGGAAAGAGCCTGGTTCACATTATGGACACCCAAGGGGTAAATGCAAAGACATTTCTACAAGATTTACCATCTTCTCCTGGCCTCAACATGACAGAGCTCTGCTGGAAGCACTTCCCTGCACAGATCGTGACAGCCAATGGCAAAACATGTTCCTAAAGGGTTATGGAGCAGTAAATCTGTGAGAATTTTTGTGCGATTAATAATCTGGGAACACGTCTGTCAAACATCAGGAAATTCAAAGCAGAGCAGCCCATAACAAAGGTGGCTATGCTGCATTTACAGTGGGGTGCATACAGGCAAGCAGCCTGCTCCCACCCTTCAGCTGAGAGTAATTAGTCTGCTGCTGCACCTGCGCTGATTTCTATGGCTGTCCCTTACTCTTCAGTGACTCTGTTGGTGCAGTGGTGCGTTAGCTCACAATTACTAACTATATTCTGCATTCAGCACCAGGTGCTGGTGCAGCTTCCATAAAGAATGACCCTCATTTGGCAGAGTCCTGCCTGGAGAACACGCTGGGCTGTGACAACTGTTTTGTTTTTAATTCAGTCCAGCTCTGGAACTGCATGCACTCTTGATGATAAAAGGGCTCCCTACTGCAAATATAAACTCTCAGCCAATTCCTTGAGTGCAAACCAGATTTCAAACACAGGATCTACCTGAAGAGTGTACACTTCTGAGTGCTTTGGTTTGTAACACTTAGAGATGATGGCTTTGCGCTCTGCTGACTGATGAACCAGGAGTTTTCTTCTCTGCACTTCTGCTTCAATCTAGGAATAAAGAACAGAGCGTCGTGCTGGAGAATCAGAGCAGATAACAAAGCAGAGGATAACTAAAACAATTCCAGGAATCTGCTTATTGTTCTAAAGCAGTTATTTTTGTTCAGGGCACCTCTGGGAGCCTGAGCGTATGCTTTTGCTTTTCTGTAGTCAAGACAGGATGAGTAAATATTTAAAAACCCAGATGCCTAAGAGGGATTTGAGACACATTTGCACAATCGATGGCTTAAGAAAGAACTGAAGCCTTTCCACGGATGTGTCAGGGGAGCTGTGAGTTTTCATCCCTTTCGGGCATTTCTGACACCTCGTGAATCGCTCTGGCTCTGGTTTATGTCCTGACAAGAGCAGTTTTGTCCGCAACGATGACGTTTCCCGGGAGGGAGACGGGATTAGCGTTAAGTCGTGCCGGGACAGGCTCGTCCATCACCGCCCAGCAAACAGCTCAGACAACTGCTCTGCTGTGCCCCCCACGACGTCACACCGCCCGCCGTGTGACGGACCCGCGGGGCATCCCGACAAACGGGACCCCCAGAAACTGGACGTCGTGCCAGCATCGCCACGCGGCAGCTCGGCTGGGCAGGCTGCTCCGGCGCTGCCACCAAAGCGGGCTTTTAAAAACAGCAGGAAAGGGACCGAGGAGCTGCCAGCCCTCGGTCCCCGCCCGCAGCTCGGCGCTCACCTCCCGCAGCACGGCCGCCATCTGCTCCTCGCCGCCGCAGCCCCGCTCCCTCAGCGCCTGCAACGACACGGCCGTCAGCGGCCGAGCCCGACGCCGAGCCCGCCGCCCCGCCCCGCCTCGCCGCTACCCGCCCGTAGTCCCGCCGGAGCTGCCGCTCGTCGCGGTAGCAGACGTGCATCCCGCAGCGCCCGACGAAGATGTTGGCGGAGAAGAAGCAGGCGCAGGCTCGGAACGGCCGGCCCGCCGCCATGTTTCCCGCCGGAGCGGAGCGGAGCGCGCGCCGCCACAGCGCTTCCGGAGCGCGCGGGGGAGCGTCGGAAAATTCCGGGCCGGAAGAAAAACGGGGAAAAGGAGGCGGCCGTAACGCCTCTCCTCCTCCCTCTCCGTGCCGCTTTTTGCAATCTCGACGGCGACGCCGCCGACCCCCGTATTCCCGGCCCGTAGCGAGGCGTTGGCCGCGCCTCGGGGCGCGCACGCACCGCGCGGTTCTTTGCAGACGATCCCCGCGCCGCGCGGCCGCGGCTCCGCCCTCCTCCGTCCGTCCCTCTGGGCCGGGCACGCGCTCGGGCACGCGCGGGGCGGTCGTCGGGCACGCGCCCGGCCCGGGCCCCCGCGGCGGCCATGGAGTCCTCGCTGCAAGTGGCCGAGGAGGAGGTGGTGGTGGCGGCCGAGCCGTGCGTCCCCAGCAGCAAGTTCGAGGACATTTACCGCCTGCTGGCCGAGGGCTGCTTCCCGCCCAGCTTCTGCTCCATCAAGAGGAAGAACCTCAAGCGCTACGCCCAGAAATTCGTCGTCGATGGTGGGAACCGGCGGACCCTCGCGGGGGTGCGGGGGGGATCCGCTGCGGGAAGCCGGGGGTGCCGTGCCGTTATCCCGGCGTCGCTTTGGGGGCGAAATGTGGGGATTTGGGGCGCCGTGGGGGTGCTGGGACCCCCCGCTGGAGGAGGGCTGGCTGCCTCAGTGTGGGGGTCTGAGCGGGGGCTCGGCGCGAGGCTCTGCTGCTTTTGGGAGATGTCCTCGGCGCCCCCACGGGAGCGGCTGTTCGAGCGTCGTGGGAAACAAAGCCGTCCCGCCCGCAGGTGGCTGCCTGTACTACGTGGGGCCCAAGAAGGAGGAGAAGCGCGAGGTGATCGTGGACCCCGAGCGCAGGCGGCAGGTCTTCCTGGAGAGCCACTTCACCGAGATCGGGAACCACCTGGGCCAGAAGAAGACGGTGCACCGCATTCAGAGCCGGTACTACTGGCTGGGGATTGTGAAGGATGTGGTGGACTGGGTAAGTTCTGGAGCAACGTCTTTGACTTTCCCAGGAGGTTGAGGCAGGAGTGAGCAGCTACCAGAGCCCTGCTGCAGGGACGGTGTTGCTCCTAGTGCTGTTGCTTTGAAGCCGTGCACTGGGCCACTCTGCAGGTGAAACTGCTGGAGCGTCTTGAGGCAGCTGGATAGATTGGATGTCTTTTCCCCTGAGCATCAGTAAATCTGCACAGGTAGGCATCCTCATGCAGGGCAGTTTTGGCCAGTGTGGGAATATGGGATTGGTTCAGACAAAGCGTTGCTTTGAGTTTAGTTTTGAGCAGGCTGGATTCCTGCCACAGCTCCTCAGCTCCCTGAATTGCTGTAAAGAGAGGAGCACAGTGTTTCCAGCAGCTCTCCTGGGCTGCTTGGCCTCTCACCTATTGTAATTCCCCTGCAGCAGGGCTCTGCAGCACGGCCTGCTTTGGAGAAGTGTGGCTACATTACATGGTCCAGACAGTACCCCTCTGGTATCCTAGGGATGGTGATTTCTCTAGCCATTAGAAAAAAATACAATAAATATTTATCCAAAACCAGGGTGAGAAATGTCTTTGCTATAGGCCACGTTGAGAAAGTTGGTTATTGTGTCAGAGAAGGCTGTCTGGTGAGTTTTGTCAGAGATGAGTTGTGTCAGCCTGCTGTGCTCTGTTCTCTTTTTCTTGCGTCCCTCTGTTTTTATTGGGTAGAAGGAAGCTGCACAGAGGTACTGTCCCTCTTACCCACTTATAACTTGTTCAGAATCTGACATAACTTGTCAGCATATTTTAAAATCCTTTGATACAGTTTTTCCCTTTCCAGATCAAAATGTGCGAAACATGCCAGAACGCAGAGCACAACAAAAACATATCACGGAAAACCAGACCTGTTAAAGTGGAGTCCCCCTGGGAGGTGCTGGGATTAGCTGTTCATGGTGAGTGTTTGTGGCTGTCTCACAACCTCTTCAAGGTTTCTGCACCCGCTGTCGGGAAGCGTGGCAGATCTACGGTCACACGTGAGTGACAGCCACCTACCTCTGTGGTGAAGAACTGCCAAGGAAGCCGTAGCAGCTTACCAGGGTGCAACCTGATCCAAATGACTGGCACAGTTCCCACTGCATACACAATGGGAGTTATGTGGGTGTGAGTTACCACTCTGAATTGAGGCTGTGATGGGTGTGCTGTTGCTAACAGAGGTCACAGAACTGTACTGTCTAAATTACAGCAGAAAAGAGTTAAAGTATTTTGCCTTTTGGGAGCAGTTGTTTTCTGGGCTTAGTTTTTTACCTTCTCTGTTTGGATAATATTACAGCATCACATTTATTTATTTATGTATTTATTTTTAAATGCTTGTTTATGCAGGACCTTTTCCTGAGACGAGCCAGAGCAATACACATGTCCTCATTGTGACTGACTACTTCACTAAATGGATTGAAGCTGTTCCTCTGCAGAAGAAAGATGCCTTGTCAGTAGCTAAAGCACTAGCTACCACTTTTTACAGGTGGGCTCTTCTCTTCTTGATTAAATTGCACCTCTACAGTGAGATATGGGGGTGCTCTAGAAACTGTGTTGAAGTATGTGTCCACAAGATGGTTCTCCAGAAGAGCAGGAACTCTTCTGCAGGAGAGGCCATGCAGTGCCCCTTGCTGTCTGCAGAGTCCTTGGGAACAGCATGTTATTCTCTTGTTAGCAGTGGAAAGGAGAAGGAAACATAAGTGGTTCACTTTTTGGCTCCAAGGTCAAGAGAGCTGGTGCCCCAGTTCTCTACAGTTATAAAATGTACTCTGATCCTTTGTAGAGAGTATTTGTTTTACACTCATGTGTTACCTGCCTCCACTGTACCCTGTGGGAAATGCATGTGGCCAGCAGAGACTTGCATTCAGAACAGAAAACTTTGCTTGTTTCTTCTGGTGCCTTATCATTCAAAAGCAAACAGGCTAGGCTATTTTGGAACAGATACAGCCAACAGACCTTTCTCTGCTCTTGGGAGGTGCTTGGGAAGATGCCTGCTTCTTCAGCACCAGCTCCATTAGAGGACCTTTCTCCCTTTTGTATCCTGTTTCCGTGCTGATTGAATGCCTCTGGCTGTGCCCTGTGGCAAGCAGAGTAAAGCAAGTTGTGTGTCCTCTTCTTATTCAGGTTTGGAGCATCCAAGAACATTTATGCTGGTGAGAGCTGGGACTTCTGTGAGGAGGTAGGTCAGGTGTTGGCTGTTTCAGGGAGAAACAACATGATCTTGAGTGTTTGCTTTTGATCAGAGCTACAACATGCCATGGACAGGGCACGAGGAGCTGAAGCTGCCATCTCCCTGCCCCAGCCGTCTTGCCAGCAATAGGTGCTTTGTCAGTGCTTTCATGCTGTCGGGATTTGAAGCTGTGGTTATGTGGTATAAAGCCTTGAGCCACACTGCAGCTTCTTTGCCCAGAAGGAAAAAATCCTGTGAGATGATGGCTGTGAACTCTCTGCCCTACCCTGGGATTAACCCAGCTTGCCAGTGCTGTGGAAAACCACAAGCACGGTAATATTTGTTGCAACATGTTTACTCCAGCTCTGACTTCTCTAGTGAGTTTTTCATGCCCAGTAATACTTTTCTCCCTCTTCTGTAGTATCCTCATGCTGCCAGGGGGATTCCTACTTCAGTCTGTTTCACTATAAGCAGTATTTTGTTTTCTGTACTCTGTAGCTACATCCCAGTGAGGCAGTGCTGTCTCATGCTGTGGAAGCTGCTCACTGCTGCAGTGCAGACCTGCCTTGTTCTCCTGTGGGCATGACCCCCTCCCTGCCTTTGCAGGTCAGCCGGCTTCTGTGTGAGCGCTGGAACATCTCCCAGATCCTTACCCCTGCAAACCCTGTGGACTGTGTGGGCCTGGATCACCGCAGCGCTGAGGTGCTCAAATCCTCCATCTGCAACGTGGTGAACGAGAAGCCCAGTGAATGGGATGCCCACCTTGATCCCGTCCTCTTTGATTTCCGCACGTCGGTGAACTCTGCCACGAAGTACACCCCTTTCTTCCTCATGTTCAACAGATACGTGTGCCTGTCGTCTGAGGTAACTCTGCAAGACAGCACAGTTGTGTCTGAGGTTTGCCACTGACACTGCTTTGGAGTAATAACCACGTGTCTATGCCTTGCAGGTTGATTTTGTCAAGGACTCAAAAGAGCAGAGCGTTAGCTCTGCTAAGACAGATGGCCTCCCACCATTCACAGCTGCAGTTCAAGAGCAGCAGAATGCGGTGAAGGAAATTGTAAGTCTTGCAGTGCCTTGAAGGGGTTTTGCAGCTAAGCCCCCCATCTGTCCACAGATGCCGTCCCACAGGAATCTCTTGCCTGCTTTCTCCCATTGCCAGGCACAGCGGGCGGTGCGTTGTGGCAGTGGCAGCGAGAGCCCTGCTTAGGCAACGCCCAGGTGTCCTGCCCTGCTGGGTCACTGATTCTGCTTGCAGGAGAAGCAGGGCGAGAGCTGTGGTTTAGCAGGAGGTGTTGTGAGCTTCCAATAGCTTCAGCCTAGATCCCATTCTGCCCTCTACTGATGGAGAACTCTGAGCACAGCCATTAAATAATGCTTTCTTAACACAAGGTCTCCTGGAAGTTTGGGGTTGTTGAAATGAGGCTGGAAGGTCCCCGTTTGCTCCCTCCCTTGCCCTGAGGTGCAGCCGGTGATGCTGACCTTGGCACAGCTTTTGCCAACAAAGTTGCAGCATGGTTGAGCTGATTTTTAAGCTACCTCTCTTTTAAGCCCAACCAAAGCTATCCGCTTTGCAGGTGATCGCCAATATGACCACAGCCTACAAGCGGGAGCGGAAGACCATGAAAAGGAAAAGTCGAGTCCTGCCCTCTCTTACATTCAAAATGGAAGAAAATGTGTTTGGGAGCAACGGTGCCTCTTCCCTGAAGAAGCTGAAGAAGGGCCAGTTTGTGTCCTTCCAAATTGAAACAGTCCTGCCAAATGAGCAGAGTATGGCTGAAGTGAAGAAAACCAGCTAGCGTCTGGGGCTTTGCTGGGGTGTCCCATGGGGCTGGGGACAGTAGTGTGAACTGTTCCTGAGGTTCTTGTCCCAGCTGTTTGGGGGTCCAGGCACAGATGCCTGCTCAGTCTGGGGGGGCAAAGAAGGGGAAGGTTCAGACAATGGGGTCTGTTCCATCTCATCCCAGTCCAGGCTGGGACCATACCTACAATACAGTGAAGTGGCACCATCCTCATTTATGCTTGGGCAGCAAGGGACTCTGTCTTGGCAAGAGCTCCACCTTGAACACAGCTTGGAAACTGCCCCACTGGGGGTGATTACAGCAAGGCCTGGGGAGGGCTCTGGGTGCAGGTGAGGAAAGAACCTGGAACAAGACTCAGCCAAGTTGCAGTCCATTTCCTGTGGTTTGAAACAACCCTTCCCACTTTTCAGCGTGACATGGGAAGGGCCATGCCAGGTCTAGCAACATCCCGGGGATGTGGGGATGGCTCGATGTGAGCTTTTTGGTTGCAACCACTCATTAGCAAAAATAAAATCAACAATAGAACATGAGATTTTTATTT